ACACAGTCAGAGTCAAAGTCTTTCAAACAGCCTATAGTCGACTTGCTCAAGGAAATTATGCAGGTGCACTAGGGTAAGCAACAAACATAGGCCTCCTTGAGCTCGTCGGCGACGCGCATCACTTCATATTTGATTATGGTCGAGAAAACAGGCAAAGGCTCTTCTGCATATAGAACAGTATTCAGGAATATTCAACGATTTACGATTTACACCTTCACCTGTGCGATATAAATTCAGCCAAAGCGGGTCATGAGCAAGGTAATTTTTTTCCACCCTCCTCCCTTGAACAGCACCAAAACGACGTAGCCATGGAGACATAGGAATGGAAACCTTCCTATATAGCATATGAAAACAAATATTTCCCGCGCAATCGCTTTGATTGAAATTTCAGCGCTTTATTAGGCTGTCCAGAAAGTTTCCGCCGTTTTTGTAGCTCACTTTTGAATGCTTTATTTCTGGGTCACTTTCAAGAAACTGCTAACACTTTATATATCGTTAGAAAGCGCGTTCCTCGCTCTATCCAAATCTACTGTTTTTTCAACACTGAATCACCTTTCCACTTTTTTTGAAGTCTTGAATACAACATACTCAACAGCCTGCTTTGCACTAGTTTCTTGTTTCCCCTCAAACTTGCTCGGAAATGTGCGGAAGCAAGTTGCGATATCAACTAAGCATTTGGTTCGAGTCCACAAAAAATACGCTGTGCAGTCGTAATTCAAAATGTCTTTCTCGCGATGTTGAAAGCTTTGAAGGAGATTAGTGATATCGGAGACTGATAAAGATCAGCTGAGGGTTTTGACCAAACCAATCTGCATGAAACTGTTGAACAGGCTGCTTTTGAATTGGGCGTAACCGACATAAGATTTCCAAACATAGCGGTGAGGGTAAAATGCCCAAAGAAGTCGAAAGCCAGGTGCGCCGGCTCTTCTACCCACTGCTGGCAGCAAAACCCCAGTGTCTTGTAATCCAAAAGCCTGCTAATATGCCCCCAGATGGTTCGGAACTGTCTCCTCATGTCCTGCTTCTGCACAATCTCTCAAGAGTTGCCTCATCATAAACAGTTAACCTTCGCTTCAAACCTTTTTTCTCAACAAATGAACAGCGTAATTGGGAAGGTGTGGTGTGTTGAATTGTCTCTTTGTTGACATTGTAGTGCTTCTCTTTTTTCTAAAACACAATGAGCGTTAACTGTAAAGACGTAATTCAACCTTGTATCAGTTGACTGTTGAAGCGATCCGGAATTCTCTGAAACGCATTTTTTTCGTTTGTTAACGGTACGCAGTTAACCATAGCAAGCAAAAAGCTTTAGTTTTAAAGTGAGTCACGCTTTCAGCCCGACCCTTCTTCCCGCCTCGACCCCCTGGTCCCAATGGAGCGGGCCGAATATCATGAGAGCAGCGGTGTGCCAGCAGCCACCTAGAGTTCCACCCTAAGGGCTTCCAATCAACTATCGCCTACCAAGGTAGGGCATCACTTGTTTAGATTTGTGAGAAAGATTTTCTGTTCAAGAGCTCATTTCGAACCGAGAGTTCAGAACTGCGTGAGGCTCAGAAAATCTGCTGCAGAAGTTCAAAAATGTTTTTGAAATTTTTTGGAGTAAAGTTCGTTAGGTTTACAGTGTCATCAAGCATTTTAGGTTTTGTCTATTGCAGAACTCTTATCACATGTAACCGAAGTTACCAATCAGCAATCGAATGATCAGTGTAGCGCAGATTGGTATCCACTTGCGGAAATGCTTAGGCGTGCGCGATAGTCCATACAGGCAAAGGCTATATCTGTTGTGTCGTGCACATGCCCCGGTGAAACGTGGTGACTGCTGTCCGACAAGATTCCCAATCGTTTTGACTTTTTTATAAATTTTTAAATAGTAGAGGCAGCCTCAAGATTTGAAGTAATCACCACACGTATCATTTTAGCGTCAGCTTTGTTCGATGTGTTGTCTTTCGGAACTCACAACGGTCATGATATTGAAGAGAAACGGTTTGTGACTATGCAGGATGTAACGGTGAGTTAGAATTTGCACTTTTCTTATTTTGCTTCTGCGCTTTAAGGAATACGAAGTTATACGAATGGATAATTAAATTAATTGGCAATTTCATTTTTTTTTTTTTTTTTTTTTTTTTTTTTTTTTTTTTTTTTTTTTTTTTTTTTTTTTTTTTTTTTTTTTTTTTTTTTTTTTTTTTTTTTTTTTTTTTTTTTTTTTTTTTTTTTTTTTTTTTTTTTTTTTTTTTTTTTTTTTTTTTTTTTTTTTTTTTTTTTTTTTTTTTTTTTTTTTTTTTTTTTTTTTTTTTTTTTTTTTTTTTTTTTTTTTTTTTTTTTTTTTTTTTTTTTCCAAAATTTTCCCGCCTTTGTACCCTCTAAATTCAAAAACGTATATCTCGATTTAAACAAGGCTTCTTTGCTCGAAATTAAAATTATTACAATCCCCATACCTTCGCCTACAAGAAATGAGTTTAGCTGATGGAAGTACTGAAGTTCTGAGCTAGGAACGCGGTGGATGTGGTTCACCATCGTGTTGGGTTTCAGTGCGCAGTCTCTCTAGTAGACCTAACAAATGGTTGGAAAAGTGACAGTTGGTAGGCAATAGGTCTACTTTGTGAAATAATTTGCAGCACAATTTCGTAGCTCAGCTAGTTCAATTCGGAAAGTCCGAGATGGGGTCGTTCAACAGTGGTGG